GGGCCAGAAGCTTTCTCATTTTGCAATAATTGAATAGAATCTAATAGTTCCTGGAGCGACAAAAGAGTTTTCAGCATATCAATGCTATCTAATGATAATATTCATGCTAGTCATTTGCTAGATAAATTGCTAGATTCCATTCCATACACCTTAACTATTTATGATTCTACAAGATAAACTTAACTTTACCACACAAGGAAGAAAAATAGATATGCAATTTTATAGCAGCTGGAATACTTTGGAAGAATAATTAGGCCTTCTTTGTGTTTGCACAATATGTAGCACTGAGCCTTTGAATTGTATTTACATAGTCAATAAAATTAAACTATACAAAAATAGACAGATATGGATAACCAACCATCCTCCCAAGACTTTGTAACAAGACTAGGAACCATTGGACCCAATGGGAGAAAAATATCCAATTCGATATAAAGATGCTTGTATAATTTAATTAAGTAATTATTCAGTCTACATTCAAACTCCATTAAATTCCTGTGGAATATACTTTTAAACAAATCCAGGCTTTGGTTATTTCCATATTCCACCCATCTCTTAGGTTCTATGCAAGTAACAATTTAAAATAAAATAAACAAACATTTTTTCCAGAACTCCATTGAACCAAATCACAACTATATTATGAAACTGTTCTTTATTATTTTTATTCTATAGAATTAAGATTATTTCAAATCATTCCTCTAAGATGGAATTTAAAGCCAAACCTCCAAAGTCTAAATTGACCTTTCTGTACTCTGCACCACCACTGATATCTCATTCTCTAATGTTAACATTGAAATCATATATGTTCTCAGAAGTCAGTGCCACTTACTTCAAAAGAGCTTATCTATCTATCTATCTATCTATCTATCTATCTATCTATCTATCATATTTATATAGCTGCCCATCTCACACAAAGTGACTCTGGGTGGCGTACAACAATTAAAAAGAATAAATACATAAAAGCAATTGCAAATAAAAAGCTATAAAAGCACAGAAAACAGGAGGGGATAAAATTAATAAGGGAGCCATCGCAAAATCTCCTGGGTCCCCTGGGAGCCCCAGGCCTGATCACATAACCAGGTCTTGAGAGACTTGTGGAATGTTAAGAGGGATGGAGCTAATCTCATTTCTAGGGGGAGAAAATTCCACAAGGCGTCCGCCATGGCAGAGAAGAACCCACCAAATGTAATTCTCTGGCAGACGGGACCCACAGCATGCCTTCTCTGCCAGACCTGATGGGACGGGCAGATGTAATTGGGGAGAGGCAGTCCCTTAGGTAACCCAGCCCCATGCCATGAAGGACTTTAAAGATCAAAATCAGCCCCTTGAATTGGACCCAGAAGCAAACTGGCAACCAGTGCAGCTTGTGGAGCAGAGGTGTAACATGTACCATCCTAGGGACACCCATAACTGCCCGCACTGCTGCATTTTGCACAGCTGAAGCTTCCAGATACTCTTCAAGGGCAGCCCCATGTAGAGGCATTACAGAAATCCAAACAGGAGGTGACAGTGATTAGGTCCTTCTGATCTAGGAATGAGCACAACTGACACACAAAACAAAGCTGGAAAAGGCCCCCCCTAGCCACGCCTGCCACCGGCTCTTTGAGCTGGAGTCGTGAGTCCAGGAGAACCCCCAG